AATTACAAAAAGCACCCATAGAGTATGAAATTGCAAAAACACCTTTTTAAATTTGCAGAAAACGCCCTAACTTTTCAAAAACTACAAAAAACATCCTAGGATTTTGGAATTTATAAACGACAAATGGAAATATATGGAAATTAAAACAAGCATCCTGATGATTTTAAAATTTACAAAAAACATCTTAAAAATTTGAAATTTATTAAAGCACACTCAAAAATAAAAATTATGAAAAATACCTTAAAAATTTGGGAAAAATGTTTCTGGGCCCCAAAAAAATTAAAAGAGATGTGTTCCAGACCCCCCTTGTTTTTCCCTTGTGTTTCAGCCCTTTCACACTCTCCCAGAAATTTTTTTCCCGAAATTACCCTTCCCCTCTTCTTCTTCATCTTCTCCTCCGCCTCCTCTCCCCTCTATTCTTCTTCTTTTTCTCCTGCGCCTCCTCTCCCCTCTCTCTTCTCTCCTCATCTCCGCTAACTGCTCCTCTCCCTTCTCTCTTCTCTCCTCTTCTTCTTCTTCTCCAGATATCAGAGGGACCCAGAAACATTTTTCCCTTTTATCTTTATTATTTTCATGTAAAGTCCAAATATCAGAGGTTCCTAAGGGGTCTCCAGCAAATTGTAGCTTTGCAGTTGTGAAAATGGATTAGATTTGCCTAGATATGTATATATGCATAAAAAATTGATGAAGCTGGAGCCTGACTTTGAGAGTTTGCTCTTTTGCCCGAACTGCAGAAACCTATTGCACTTCATGAAGGAATGATTTCAGGGTACGTGACTTTGTTCTGAAACAATTTAATTGGAAAACTTCAGTTGTTCGACAGTTTGTTCATGGAGAATTCAGGAGCTCCAGCACAACCAGCCCAAGGGATGGCCTCGAATTCCGCTGATCACCAGGTAAATTTTTTCTTCCTTAATTGATTTAACATGGTTGAGCGAATGCATGAATTATATCAAATCGATTGGAAGGAACTTGGTAGTTTCATCTAAAGAGAAGGATGACGAGGATTGTGAATATGAGATGATTTGGGATGAAGAGGGATATTGGCTCGATTTGGAAAGATATTTGATTGGTCTTTGAAGCCCAAACTGATGGGGATTGCTTGCACACAAGGTGTTTGATATAATATCTCGGTGAGAAGAAATGGTTTTATTGGAAAGAATGGTTCAATCTCAAACGTGTGTTATAATTTTTATGGTTGTGGAATGTCGAAGCATCCTCCAGTGACTACTACTCAATTCTAAGATTGTTGTACTGATGATCTTTATGTTGCATCCAGAATTGCTTGTAACGTGTTATGTTTCATTGTTTAGTTGATATGTGTTCTTATGGTTTGGTTGTACTTAGATTAAAATTTAATGAAATGTATTGTGTCTATTTAGTGATCAATTTTGGTGTAATTTGTTACGATTGTATGTGAAATGTATTATGGCTGTCATGTGAATATGTACAACTTCATTCAAATAGAACTTGATGTGCATAATAAACTGAAGATTATATATAAATTATGTTTATCAAAACCTGAATATTATGATACATAATATGTACATAATCTTGAGGTTATTGTGTACATAATAATATATACAAATCATGTACATAATCTTCAAGTTACAATACACTATTAAATCTCATTATATATAAGCTTCACCATTCTACCAATCTGAAGAAGATAGAATGGTGAAGCTTCTTCAGATTGCATTAAAGTGCATATACAAATCTGCCGATGCTCGACCAACTATGAGTCAAGTTGCCGAGATGATACATTCATTGAAGGAAGAAGATGATAGATCTGTTGTGTCTGAAATTGATTCAAGAGATGCTTAAAATTGGGGAGTTTGTTTTTATAATGTCCTGGAATTTATGTATATGTTCCGTTTGACTATTATCATTTGCTAGTGTATATGTGTTGGTCACATATGAGGAGGTGGAAAACATTGTTTATTTGTTACACTGATGACATAGGTGATATTAGTCCAAATGGTGCTTTCAAGCTCAAATTTAATCCTAGTATGTTGACTTAGTTAACATACTAGGATGAAAGTTAACACGTTCTGCCAAAAGTCAACATAGAACTATTATAGTTAACATTTTCCCCTTTCTTTCTCCTGTTTTTATTTTTCCCTTTTGTTTTTCTACTAGTTTTTCTGCCAAAGATATACAAGAACTCAATAATCTTAACATGTAACTATTATAGCTTTAATTCAATATCTTATGATGAAAATTAACATGTAATAGTAAATGTTAACATATTATGATGAAAGTTAACTTGTTCAGCTGAAATTTAGCATGTTATGATGAACGTTAACATGGTTAGTTGAAACTTAACATGATATGAGTACACACTTCATGCAAATCAGTGCTAGGTTTTGTCAAATTTCAACTTGAAAGTGCCATTTGGACTAGCAACACAGAGATGACCCATCATTATTTGAAATAATGCAATTAGTGTCTCTACCACATTCCATTAATGAAAATATGTGACAAGAATCTATTTAATTTCTAATGTCAAGGAGACCATGAAACAAGAAATCAACAAGAAATAGACATCCTCATTTATTAAATTTGAGTTTGAAAGCACCATTTGGACTAATATCACCTATGTCATCAGTGTAACAAATAAACAATGTTTTCCACCTCCTCATATGTGACCAACACATATACACTAGCAAATAATAATAGTCAAACGGAACATATACATAAATTTCAGGACATTATAAAAACAGACTCCCCAATTTTAAGCATCTCTTGAATCAATTTCAGACACAACAGACCTATCCTCTTCTTCCTTCAATGAATGTATCATCTCGGCAACTTGGCTCATAGTTGGTCGAGCATCGGTAGATTTGTATATGCACTTCAATGCAATCTGAAGAAGCTTCACCATTCTATCTTCATGCACTCCTTCATAGAGCATTCCCTTATCAAAATTAAACTTCAACTGTCCATTCCTCTTTCACCACAAAATGCACTCACTAAGACAAATCAAAACTATTATTCTGAACAACTAATCATCTCTGGGTTTTCACCTGCATAGATTTTTTTATCAGTCTCAAATCTTGTTTAATTCCATCAAATTATAACACACGCCTGAGATTGAGCCATTCTCTCCAATAAAACCATTTCTTCTCACCAATGCATTATATCAAACACCTTGTGTGCAAGAAATCTCACCAGGCATCTGCTTGCAAGAAATCAAGATAAAGAACAGATCCACATTAAATCCTCAATACATTGACATAATTCAACATCAAAACACTCAATTTAATCACAAATCGAACAAGGAAGCCCAAAATCCAATACAATGAACTTAAAAACCCAATCAAATTCAAAAACTCCAACTCAAGCTCAATTAATAAAGATTGTACCTTGTGTGCAAGCAATCTCCATCAGGTTGGGCTTCAAAGACCAATCGAAGGTCTTCCCAAATCAATTAAGCAGAGGGATATTGACGGAGGAGGCGGAGGAGGTCGGGGACGGGGCCCGGGGAGGGGGGAAGGGAGGACGGGTGGGGGGTGTGGGCAAGGGTCTGGAGAAGAAGAGGAGGAGAAGAAGAAAAAGGGAGGGGAGAGGAGGCAGAGGAGAAGAAGAAGAAGAGGGGAAGGGTAATTTCGGAAAAAAAATTCTGGGAGATTGTGAAAGGGCTGAAACACAAGGGAAAAACAAGAGGGGGCTGGGACACATCTGTTTTAATTTTTTGGGGCCCAGAAACATTTTTCCCTAAAAATTTTAAAGTTAAAAACAACAAGTTGAAAAATGGAAAATTACCAGAAACACCAACAATATTTCGAATTTATAGACACACCTTGAAAATTTATAATAAATACGCTAAGAATACCAAAAAAAAAATCATGAAAGCTTCAAAACACCATATATGTTTCAAAACATATGACACTCGAATCTAGAAATTTGAAGCATTCCAAGAAAATTTTGACATTTACAAAGGTACATATGGACACTTCAAATTTACAAAAAACGTTCACAAAATTTTGAAGTTTACAAAAAAAACCCTACAAAGTTAAACCTTGTAAATAGCACATTGGAAATAAGGAAATTACAAGTAGCCTCTAGAAAATCTAAAACTTTGCAAAAAAAACACTGTAAGTTTTAAAATTACAAAAAACATTCTCACTAAATTAGAAATTTATAAAAATGCCCCAAAAATTTAAGAACTTACATGAAGCACACTAGAAATGGTGAATTATACAAGCATCTCCATCAAAATGTTAGGGTTTTTTTTGTAATTTTGAATTTTAGAGGTAATCTTTTTTTGTACTTTTTGAAAGTTTCTCATTTTTTGTATATCAAAATTTGTGAATGCTTGTAATTTCTAGAGTTTTATTATGCTTTACGTACGTTTTTAAATTTGTGAGTTATTTTTCATAAATTTCAAATTTATGAGGGTTTTATCTAAAATTTTTGAAACTTTCGGAGTTTTTTTTGCAAAGTTTCAGATTCTTCAAAGGCTGCTTGTAAATTTCCCTATTTTCAGTGTGCTATTTTTAAGTTTTAAATATTTGGCTGTTTTTTAAAGTTCAAAATTTTTAGGATGTTTTTTCTACTAGTGTGCTTTTTGTTAGTATCAAAAATTTTCGTGGGCTACTTCTAATTTTCCAGATTTACTGTGTGCTTTGTACATTTTGGAAATTTCAGAATGTTTCTCATTAGTTTCTAATTTTGAGGGAATTTTTTTATAAAATTTTAAACTTTTTGGGGTATTTATTGCAAATTTCAAAATTTTTGAGGCATTTGTAGTGTGTTTTTAATTTAAAAAATTTCAAGGTGTTTTTTGTCGCTCCTGTTTCTTTAGGCTGTTCTCCGTTATTTTCGTAAGAAGGGGCGTAAGAAAGTCTAAATATATACATTTATATACATGTGGTGTCACATGATTTGAGGGACTTATGACCAATTCCAAAGATTTAAGTGACTGACATGGAATTATTGAAGATCTGAGGGACTATTAGCTAAATAATTTTGTGTTGAACCAATTCCAAAGATTTATAATTGAAAACCACTAACCTCTTTTTGTAATGAACCAAATCAAGCAAATCCACGCACACACCCTCCGCCAAGGCACACTCTCCCTCCAACTCCTCATTCAAAAACTCCTCAACCTCCACCCTCCAAACCTCTCTTACTCCCACTCTCTCCTCCTCAACTCCCCCTCCACCTCCTCTTTCCCCTTCAACAAGCTCCTCCAATCCTACTCCCGCCATGGCCCCTTCTCCCAAGCCCTCTCCCTCTTCACCCAAATCCCCTCCCCAAACCTCCACTCCTTCACCTTCCTCTTCTCTGCCTGCGCCTCCTTCCTCCGTCCCCTCGCTGGCCAATCCCTCCATGCCCACCTCATCAAACTCGGTTTCCCCTTAGACCCGTTTGTCGCCACCTCAATCATTGACATGTACTCCAAAACCGGTCTCCTCCAACATGCCCACAACCTCTTCGATGAAATCCCCCAGCGGGACACCGCCTCGTGGAACTCGCTCATTGGCGGGTACGCGAGAAATGGTAATATGGGCATCGCCCGGGATTTGTTTGATGCGATGCCGACAAGGAATGTTGTTTCGTGGACGACGATGGTTTCAGGATATGCGCAGAATGGGCTATATCTGGAGGCGGTGGAGGTGTTTTTGAAAATGTGGAGGGAGGAAGGGGAGGTGATGCCGAATGCGGTGACGGTGGCGAGCGTGCTCCCGGCTTGTGCGAATGTGGGGGCACTGGGTTTGGGGATGAGTGTTGATGAGTATGCGAGGAGGGAGGGGTTGATTGAGAATGTGTTTGTGAGGAATGCGCTTGTGGAGATGTATGGCAAGTGCGGGAGTATCGAGAGGGCGAGGAGGGTGTTTGAGGAAATGGGGAGGAGTGGGAGGAGGAATTTGTGCACGTGGAATTCGATGATTATGGGGTTGGCAGTGCATGGGAGGGCGGGAGAGGCACTAGAGCTCTTCGATGAGATGAGAGTATGTTAGCTGTATGTTGTCTTCAATCTCTTATAGCTGTAACTACAAATCAAATAGGGTATATTGCAGATAGAAACCCCGTAATGTCGATATTTTGAATATACTATCCCTCTAGTTTTATTTTTAAAGATAAAACCTGTGAGTAAGGGCTGTCTGACTCTATAACCTGCAGGAGGAGCTCTATTTGTCAAAAGGTAAATTTCTCTTTTTCAAATAAAAAAATTACAAAAAAAAATCTCTGATGGTAAGAGAGTAAAGAAGTTCAACCAAGGGGTCTACCTGCAAAAATAAAATTAGATGCGTAGTAAGTTTAGAATAGCGATATTGCAGGGGGTCTATCCGCATGTTGCCCTATTTTGACAACGTTGATGAATAAAATTGCCATGCATCGACAAATCATAAAATTTGTTGTGTCTGTTATTTTAATTTCTCTCTAGTCGAATCAGTTCATTCTTCCTATAATTGATCACATTTGCATTCAACAACAGGCAAGAGGATTCACACCTGACGATATCACATTCGTCGGCGTTCTTCTAGCATGCACTCACGGAGGACTCGTACACCAAGGACAGAACTTCTTCAAATCAATGGAAAAGGACTTCTCAATAACACCCAAACTCGAACACTATGGTTGCATGGTCGATCTCTTAGGACGCGCTGGACTTTTAAACGAAGCATATAACCTCATCAAAACAATGCCAATGGAACCGGACTCAGTCATATGGGGAGCTCTGCTTGGAGCTTGCAGTTTCCATGGAGAAATCAAGTTGGCAGAAATAGCAGCTGAGTTTCTCTTCAAGCTTGAGCCATGGAATACAGGGAACCATGTGATTCTTTCGAATATATACGCTTCATCAGGGAAGTGGAATTCTGTTGCTGAAGCTTGGAGACTGATGAGGGGTAAGCAACAGAAGAAGGCAGCTGGTTATAGCATTATTGAGTTAGACGGGATCATGCATAAGTTTCTTGTGGAGGATAAATCACATCCAGAGTATAGGGATATTTATTTGTTGTTGAGTGAGTTGATGTTTATCATGCGAAGGCAAGTTGATGATGAGTTCAACTTGGATTGTGGAGATTGAGAGCTATGACTAGGTGTCGTTGAAAGGGATTCAAGCTAAGGCAATGTATCGGCAATGGGGAGTCAAATTCTAACTTGTGCTCTGAGAATCATCGGAGTTCTCAAACGGCGACGTGATGTTTATGGTCTTGTTTATGATCAAAAATTATTTTTGCATATGATTGGTTTCGTGCGAATACCATCATTGAGAAAGGAGAAAAGAGTGTAAAATATTTTCTCTATAATGCTCTGAGTTGGAGAACTTGAAGATCTTCAAGATATTCCCACCTGAAATTAATGGCACCGGAGATATTTTTCCCTTTCTTATTCCTAACCCCTATTATTTCTCTTTCTAATTAGTTTATTCTATTAATTTAAGCATGAGTAAGTGTAACTTGAAAAAGATTATTCACCTCAATATGCTCAAAAGATGATAATATTTACTATTTTCTTTTGATATACTTTTTTCCCTCTCTTAGTGTTGACTGTTGCATGTTGTTTTCATGCTCAAGCATTGTTTAGTATAAAATGAAAAAGCAATGTCAAACGTATAAAGAAGTGGTTGAGCATACATATTAGAAGATAATCATCTTTGCTTCTAACTTTTAGCAGCAAGCAATAAGACCAATCCGTCAAGCCTCAAAGAATTTAAAACATAACGTTGTTCACATTCAGATGGCCACCATCTCTGTGATGCAGACATAGTTTTAAGACATCAGGGGATAATTTTTTTTACAGCTTCTAGAAATTGAAACAAGACATGATTCAACAAAAACACAGAGTTGCTTCTTCACTCAACTAAGTAAAGCCTCTCGTCGCACCTCACAAACATCATGACACATCAACAGGAGCCGAAAACAGAACAAATGTATCAGATATACAATTTTTGCAAACGCTTACACCTGCTATTAGCAAACTATTACAAAAGAAGGCGACCCTTCTTCCCTTTCTCCATCATTTTCACTAGCGGTATTCTCGCAGGCCATCGCATTAGCTAGCAAGAGCTTGTCAGCTTGCATCCTTTTATCGCTTCCAATATGGACAGAATGAGTAAGTTGCAATGGTTTTTTCCATTACCTGTCATTGACAAAAATTAAATAAAATTAGATATCGCCATTAAATAAGCACCCTCAAAGACAACTTCAGCTAGAGTGGGGTGCCTGATGTACTTTGTGGCAGGCAAGTTCTCCTCTGATTCTGGGTAAGTGATGAAGTCTGCAGTTTGGTGAAACAAATAATAGGAATACATCACAGCCCCATAACGTAGCATATCCATACCGCATAATTAGTGTAAAAGGCAAATAGGTGTGGACCTATACTATCCTGCAGCAAATTTAATTCTCTTTACTTTCAGTCTAAAGTTTCCAAAAAATCTGCTTAAGATACAATTCGTAAGTAGGAAAGTGAATGATGAAGATTGCATTTATGATGTCCATGATGCAGGAAAATGCAAACCAACAAATATATATGGGGGCCTAAGCACTCAGAACCTGCAGAATGAGTCTGGAAATTTTCACTTTCATTTCGAAAGTTTCGTTGAGAATTACCAGTTTGAACTGTCTTATAACTTTCAATATCCCAGCTTTTAGTTTCTCATCTGCATTGCCTGGGTTAGCAAAAATAACACCACAAGTTCGAAAATCAATTCAACAGATGGAGTGAACAAATACAAAGCGGAACCTATTCTCCCCAACAAAATACTGTGAAAACGGCGAAGGAATTGTGTAAAACGTGAAGAATAACCCAAAACAGACTCCACCACACCCTGGTGTGGTGTCTGCCATGGGTGTGGTAGAATCTGTCCTGCACCACACCCTCTGCCACACCCATGGTGCAGGGTGTGGCAGACTCGTTTTTTAGAATCATCATTTGTTTGGGAATCCTCCTTTGTTTGGGATTGTGTTTTATTATAAATAGGACCACGTTTTTAGGGTTTCTCAAGGAGAAAAAAAGGAGAGAATTAGCATTGTTTTGAGCACTTTGAGAGGGAGATATTGTGAGGGAGTTGAGAGCTTTGGTTAGAGTTATATTTGAGTGATTTTGTGAGTTGTAACTCGTTGTATTTCTCCTCCATATAGTGAAATCTCCCCATCCTCTCCCCATGGACGTAGGCAAGTTGCCGAACCACGTATATCTCTGTGTTTGGTTTGATTTGTCGTAATTGGCTTGATTTGTGCAAGTGTGTGGCTTTCTTCTTCCGTGATCTCAAGTTCGTTGTGTGTGCGTGCAACGCTTCCGCATAGGCACGCGACAAGTGGTATCAGAGCTCAGATTTCAGATCTAGGGTTTTGGATTAGGTGGAGGAAGATTCAGTTGGAAGCTTGGTTCTTGGAGTTCTAGGCTTTGGTGGAGTTAGGGTTTGAAGTTACCGTTGAAGATCTCGCTTTCCTTGTGTGGTTAGGAGTTCTATTTGGAATCCAATCTAGGGTTCAGTTGGGTAATTTCTTATTCCTTTCAAAGTTTGAATCTTTCCTTATAATTTGGAAATTGTGATTGTGGGTGAAAAAGTTGGTGAAAGCAGCAAGATGACAGGCACAGTTCAAGTGGGTTTTCAGAATACTAAGATTAGTGTAGTGAAATATGACGGCAAGATCAATTTTGGTTTGTGGATGAGCGACGTACAAGATGCGCTCAATGCTCAAAATCTGGAGGAGACCATCATGATCGATGTGAGGCCACCTAAATATGAAGAGGCGATATGGGAAAAGATGAATCGAAATGCTTGAGGGGTGATCAGGTCCTGTTTGGAACAGGAGCTGAAATACGATGTGATTGGGGTGACGTCTGCAATGAAGATGTGGGAGATTTTCAACAACAAGTATCTCACGAAGAGTGTTGAGAACAGGTTGAACTTGCTGCGAAGATTATTCAGATTTCAGATGTCCAGAGGCACCTCGCTTGCGGCTCATGTGAACAACTACACTAAGTTGTTGTCAGACTTGGCGAACGTGGATGTGAAGATCACAGATGAGTACAAGGATATTATTCTTTTGGGCTCCTTACCAGATGAGGAGTATGATACCTTCGTGCTTATGTTGTTGAACGGTAGATCTTCTATCACTTATAGTGAAGTGACTAACGCATTGACGAACTATGATTTGAGGAGGAAGGATAAGGAGACTTCCCGCGCTAGTACTTCAGGAGAGGCCTTGTCGACGAGAGGTAGAAGCTCATATCAAAAAGGTGGAAATAGAGGGAGGTCAAAGTCAAGAGGTCGTCACCAGCTTGGAAAGAATCAATGTGCATTCTGCAAAGAGCAGGGACATTGGAAGAGAGACTGCCCGAAAGTCAAAGAAAAGGAGAATAGCAAGAATAAGGGCCCGAAGGCCAATGAGGTGAATGTTGCGAAAGGCGATGATTCCGATGATTCGAGCTTTTCTCTTTTGATTACTCCAGAGGAGAACCATTTGAATGCATCAGAGTGGATGCTTGATTCTGGCGCTACTTATCATGTGACTCCTAGGCGAGATTGGTTCTCATCATTTGAGAGACTCGACGGGGGTGTTGTTGTCATGAGAAATGATCAATCCTGTGACGTTTGTGGGATAGGTACTGTGAGGATTCGGATGCACGATGGAGTAGTCCGTGAGTTGAAGGAGGTGAGATTCGTTCCTCAACTTAAGAAGAATCTTATCTCAGTTGGGGCTTTGGAGGCAAAGGGATTCAGGGTGACCTTTGAGGATGCTGTAGCGAAGGTTACTAAGGGATCTTTGGTGGTGATGAAGGGAGTCCGCAGTCATAATTTATACTATCTGAAGGGGAGCACCGAGATTGGCCAGGTTGCTTTGGCTATTTCAGAGGCGGACATGAGCAGACTTTGGCATTACAGGTTAGGGCACATAGGAGAGAAGTCACTGCAGGCTTTGTGCAAGCAGGGGCTATTGAAGGGAGCCAAGAGTGAAAAGATTGAGTTCTGTGAGCACTGTGTTCTTGGCAAGAAGACAAAGGTGAAGTTCGGGACGACCATTTATAGGACGAGGGGCATCTTGGACTACGTGCATACAGATGTTTGGGGTCCCACCAAGACGGCATTGTTCGCGGGAAAATTCGTTGCTTTCTTTGTTATTGATTCCATTGTCATCTTGGTATGGATGCATTCCGTCGCTTGATGCGATTCGTCGATCTCGTCGCCTCGTTGGTTCGTCGGTTTATGCCGAGCTGAGCTAAGGGACCTATAAGCAATTTTATATGCCTACAGGCATCACTTGGTGGTCGACATTGGTTCGTCACGTTCGTTGATGACTATTCTAGGCGATGTTGGGTGTACACCATGAAGCATAAGAGTGAAGTCCTAGATTTGTTTGTGGAGTGGAAGAAGAGATTGGAACTGCAGACTGGGAGAAAGATCAAGACGTTGCGATCCGACAACGGCGGCGAGTATACCTCAGACCCCTTTCTGCAGCTATGTCGAGACGAGGGCATAGAGAGGCACTTCACAGTTAGTCATACACCGCAGCAGAATGGGGTGGCGGAGAGATTGAATCGGTCTTTGCTGGAGAAGATTTGATGTTTATTGGCGCATAGTGGTTTGGAGAAGATCTTTTGGGCTGAGGCACTTTCTCATGCGAGGCACCTCATTAATAGGCTGCCTTCATCTGCGATTGAGGGGAAGACCCCTATGGAGATGTGGTCGGGAGAGACAGCACATGACTATGACTAGCTTAAGGTATTTGGTTGCCCTGCATATTATCATGTTAGAACTGATAAGTTGGAACCTCGAGCTAGGAAGACCATATTTATAGGATTCAAGCGTGGTGTGAGTAGGGACGTCACATTCGATGAGGCTTCTATCTTGAAGCTTCCCAGCTCTCATCAGGTGGAGAGCGACCCGACAGAGGAGATTTCGCAGGTGGTGGAGATTGATGCAGCTCCACAGAGTCCAGATAGTGCAGTATCCATTAGAGTGCCGACTGAGGTGATGCCAGGCGAGCACGACGGTGATGCGAAGGATATGGGTACTCATGAGAAGGATCAGGGACCGACGGCTCAGGTTCAGGATTCTATTACGGCACGAAGACAGAGGAGAGACATACGGGATCAGGGACCGACGGCTCAGGTTCAGGATTCTATTACGGCACGAAGACAGAGGAGA